TGTTCGGGCCTCTTGGACCGTCGCATTTATCCGAATACTCATGGCGACTGGACGACCTGGGGACAACGAACGACGCTTAAAGAAAGCCTGCTAGTTTCTGGAATCACAGGAAGCAAGAGGAGCGGGAGATTTTAGGGCACCGCGGTCTACCCCCCGCTTCCGCCTAGTCTTGGCAGGATTTTGTTTTGAGGGAGGCTGAGGTGAGGAACTGTGACGGTGCTCGCAGGGCTCGGGCCTTAGAAAGTCGGAATCGGCGGTGGCTGAAATGCTTGTGCGTCATTCTCCAAAGGATGTCATTGGCAGAAAGCACTTCGAGTAAGAACGGCAATTTCTCATGTCTATTGTTTTTCCACGAACCTCCTGGCAGACGTTGGTTCTCGTGTCATATCGCCCTGGTGGTGGGCCTCCGACGAAGGACGATCAGCTTTTGCTGTCAAATTTCATGCCGTACGCCCATCTGAACGTTCCAGCACGGACATTCGGTAGTCTTCGGCAACACCACGTTCAGTAATTCCATGAACGATGCGATTGCTTTTCCAATCGCAGCCGCTCTTAACGAACACGCGTCGTACAAATACAATATAGGTCATTCAGGAATTCAGCACCAGGCGACCGGTCACGCATGGTTTCGCCTGACCAACACGAAGATTATTCAGGAGGTGCGGCATCCTTGCAAATAAGAGGCCTCTGCCGCAGCCGAGCGCGGAAAATTCGATACTGTACGCGTTCGGCCGCTATGGTCGATCAACCGTGTACGCGGACCCGGGGTCAGACTCGATAGTCCAGGTCACATTTCCGGCCCTAACCGGCCCGAGCCTCAATGTGCAGCACGTTCCAGGGCTATCCTAGAGAGCTGATGTGTGGGATGCTATACCACAACGCTTTGCTTTGCCCTCTTGTCTCAATTTTCAAAAGCCAGATCCTCAAATTTGGGTCTGAAACGTACCCCAGGGCAGACCTCTCCTTGCTTCATCTAGTACGACGTCCCTGCTCATATCCTCTTCTGGTTCCAACGGCGACACTGCGGGGCACTAACTGGAACGGCAAGTTACGCCGTGCGCTTTCGACTTCGAGTTCCCACGTCTTACGCGCCTCGCGTGGGACTGAGACATGCAACACCAGACTCGTGGTCATCGTTCCCAACGCTGCCTGTACTTCGGTTACGCCACGCGACGGCACTAGCTCAGATCTTAGTTCTGTGTACCGCTACACAAGGTCAGCTCTGCAGCCCATAAGCAAGATGCGGGTTGCACGGCATGGAAAACAATGCGCGACCGCTGCCAGATCAAGGTCGACCGCATCATCGAGCATGCGACTGTCTGTATGCATATTCCGAGTTGGAAAGGCGCCTACCGAAAAGAACCCCGACTCCGAGTGTTTGTCCCACTATTGGATGACTCGCCATCTTTCACCGCCCACGTCAGGTTACTCACCGGTGGTTGCTCACTATCGCGATCTGACTTGCTGACAGTTGGCGGCGTCGTTGACGTCCACCGTGTTGTATAGCTCCAAACTACCCCCACACTAGGCGTCCGTACCACACGGTTGCATCTGCCATGCCATCACCGCCCGGATCAAACTGCTCGACTAAGGCCTGCAATCCAGACCACTTGGTGCAGAGTTGGGCGCCTTCGTTACGAACGACACGCCGTCAGCAAATCTCCTCAAGTTACGCCATGCATGTTGGTTTTCAGAAAGCAAGAAAAAGGATGAAATAACAGGGTGGATCTGATCCAAGCACCGTTCTCGCGACCGTTAGCGTGGAGATAGAAGGACCAAACTACGCCATCGCTATCCTTGCCTTGGTCCCTCGACACGAAGTGCCGTAGTGGTTCAGTAGTACATGGGTTCGGCGCCAATCATTGGTATTACATTGACATGGTTTGGCCCATATCACTTCATGGCATATGAAATGGAAGGACCAGCACTAACACATCTCAGCTCCAGGACATGCAGGCAGACTTTGTACGCGCACGTGCGTTGCTGCAGCCCTATGCTCGACATGACCCAGGCAAAGCGAGCGGCAGGGCAAAGTCGGGATAAAAGCTTTCTTCTTCTCAACGACTTCTCCCGTTCTCCCTAATATTATCCGAACGCTGGGTTTGCTTGCTTTTACAGCGGGCGACTGCCGATTAATCAATTTCATTATCGTCTTAAGACCGCATTGGACCTGGTACTCCTTGTTGGCGTTATCGTTTGAACGATCTCTGTTGCTTGCTAGTCATCTCTCGCTTTCGCTTTCTCTTCGTCACTCTATCTTTTTTCATATCTGGAGATCCTTACTAATCCTGGATTCAAATGTCGGCGTGTTGCTTAGTCTCATCACATCTCCGCGCGCAACGGACGTTTGTATGTCTCCACCAAAGCTCCACTCAAAGCCAAGGCTGTGCGTTTCTAAACATCAAGATCGATGAACATGATGAAGATGGCTCCTTAGGCAGCCGAAGAGCTTCGGGCGAACCGGAACTGCAACTCACCCAGCGGGCTCGCGAACTTTTCTTTAGTTACTTACTAAAAGTCATTACAACCTCTCCTACTATCTCGCTTTTCTCGCGTCGTTATCAGTTGTTTCGTTTCATCAGCACCTCCATTGCCGGGTATGATCCTTGTTTCGTTGATGCTGGTTCATCGGAAAGTTTGTGCCGAATACATTGCATGGTTTGTTAGCCGCGGCGAAATTCAGCAACTTTGCCTTCGCAGATGTTATATGCTCTGCGCAGCCGTCGCAATTACTGATCTTTGTCCTTCGCACATTCCTAGATATATGAAAATTTACTAGATATGGTGCGGCAGCTGGCGCTCCGTTGCATTTGTGCCAGGTACGGTAATTGAGAGGAAGCCCCTTCGTCTTTAGTGCACCAATTGCGATCATGCTAGGATCTTGGCTACTATATTACCCCACAACTAGAGACGCTCCGAGGCACGATTGCCGTATGATCCAGTTCAAAGCGGAAAGCCTTATGCCGCTATGCTTCGGGTAAGTATCTGTCATGGTCGCGACGGATTCCTATAAGTTCTTTGGCCGCGAGCGCTATCTAGTGATGGCAGAACTCTTACCGACAGCGAAGTTCTGTTTCAGCATCATGAAAATACTCTCGATACTTTCCCTAGGCGCGGCTGTGGCAGCGCTCCCCTCAGCAGTGGATCTCACCCCGCGAGCCTCCATTTCAAAAGTCGACGGCCTCAAGTTCAACATCGATGGAGTAACCAAGTGTAAGTCTACAGAGCTTAGAGACCCCCTCAGTACTTACGTTATCCTCAGACTATGCAGGAACCAACTCTTACTGGATCCCTTTCCTCACAAATGATAACGATGTCGACGTAATCATGGGCCACCTGGCCAACTCAGGTCAGAAGATACTCAGAATATGGGGATTCAACGATGTCAAAACCATTCCAGATCCCGGGACAGTATACTTCCAGTCCTTCTCTGGATCTACCGCCACGATCAACACAGGCGCAAATGGTCTTCAGCGCCTCGACGCCGTAGTCAAGGCTGCGGAAAAACACGGCATCAAACTCATCATCAACTTTGTGAACAACTGGACCGACTACGGGGGTATGGCCGCCTACTTTTCCGCGTGCGGTGTAATCAGCAATGCGCAATGGTACACGGCAACCAAATGCCAGACCATGTACCAGGCGTACATCAAAGCTGTCATTTCGCGTTATCGCAACTCCAACGCTGTGTTCGCGTGGGAACTGGCCAATGAACCGCGCTGCAGTCTCTGCCAGGCATCTGTCCTCACGAACTGGATCCGCGAAACGAGTGACTACATCCGCTCTCTCGACTCAGACCACATGATCACCGTGGGCGATGAAGGTTTCGGTCTTTCAGGCGACGGCTCCTACCCCTACCAGTATACTGAAGGCATAGACTGGGAAGCGAATTTGAGATTGGGCAACATAAGTTTCGGCACCTTCCATCTGTACCCGGATAGCTGGGGCGTGAGCAATTCGTTTGGCGACGGCTGGATTGAAGCGCATGCTCAGATCTGTGAAAAGATTAACAAGCCGTGTCTGTTTGAGGAATACGGAGTGCCCAAGAAGGAGGATCACTGTCCTGTGGAGGGGGGCTGGCAGAAGACCAGTTTGGCGTTGAGGGATAGTGGAATGGCGGCGGATCTGTTTTGGCAGCTGGGGGACACGGTGCAGAGTACGGGGCAGTTGACGCATGATGATGGGCATACGGTCTATTATGGGAGTGCGGATTGGGAGTGTTTGGTTGATGAGCATGTTAAGGCCATAGGGTAGAATGCAGGCGGGGACTCAGTGTACGTGCTTTCCTTAGCTCACGACGCGACGCGTGGAGCCTCAGTTTGCGGGGAGGGGCTGAACCCCAACACTCCACCGTGTACCACATCACCAAACCCGATTGATTCCCCCCAAGGGTTGTCACGCATCACCAGACCCATTGAGACACCCTGATATCGTCTGCCTACAGCTTGGCCATGATTGTTTGTATCGCTGCGCAGGGCATGTTGCAAACTGCAGAAGGAGACACAAGCTTCGTTAAGCTTGCCGAACGGCGAGACATGCTCACAAAGCGCAAGCAGCAGTGATTGACAGCTGCGCATTCGCTACCGGTTAGAAGAGGCACTATGGAGACTATGGACCACTACGAGGCACAGCAGAGTGGTCTGGATGTAGTTTGGGGGCCATAATCAAGCGCCACAAGCGAACAGCTTGCAGCCGCCCAGAGACAGCTGAACGTGCGTGCGACCGCAGCGGACAGTCGGGTCATCCCTTGAGGCCTTATTCCTCAGGCTTTTCGCCGACTAACCTTGCGATGTCGTCTCTCTTCTTTGCGACAGTTCAATTCCTTCCTCCCCTGTCGTGAATTCCCCCCGTCGCATCCAAGCTGAGCCGCTCACCTGCAGCCCCAGGTCATACAAACGCGGCCTCACGCAGCCTCCCGCCAATACCGACCGCAAGAGCACTATAAGAAGAGAAGGCTGAAACGTAGGCAACAACAAGAGGGGCGCAATACGCTAGGCATCATGGTCGACCGTCGGCCGCTTATGCAGGAGTCCTCGGACCTCTCTGAGAGCTCAGACAACACGCCCGCCCTGCCTTCGCTCGGCTTCTCCAGCAACTCCCATACTCTCGGGCTGACTACCCCGCCGCCTGCGCGACCGCACTACGCACGGCTCCAGAGCGATACCACCGCCGTCGGTCGCAACACACCAAGCATCGTACAGGAGGAGGACGAGGAGGAAGATATCGCAGACAGCTTCCAGCGCGGCAAGGACAGTGGTCTGGGCATAGCAACATCCCCTGTTGCGACAACGCAGACAGCCAGGCGCGTTAGCATACAACCCATCCCGCGACGAGCCGTCGGTCCTGGCCCCAAGAGCCCGCCCACAAAGAGCCCCGCCGCTTTCTCGCCTCTGGGCTCAGCCGACCCGTACTTTGGAGGCTTCCCCAAGAGCTCCAATGAGTCCACACCCGATCTACGACGAGACAGGTTCAGCCCCGACGTTGGCAGAGCGAGTCCCGACGTCGGCACATACGAAGAGTTTCGGCACGGCATACTGAAGAACGCAAAGCAAAGCAACAGCAGTATAAACGAATACGAAACATACATACATTCCGCTGATACCGATGGACTCCGAGGCGGCGGCGCCGCTCCCTCGATCAAGTCGGCATACGAGAATGACTTTCGCCCAACTCATGAATGCGCGACTACACGGGACTTTTACCACCCGCGCTTTACCTGGCTCAACCTGTCTTTGATCGTCATATCGCTGTTCTCGTGCTTGTTCTCTGGCATCTTCTTGGCTCTGGCTATTCGTGCTCCTCATTATGGGCGCCGCATTACTAGTCATGGACCTATTACGCCAGCTGATGCTATTCTACTGACTACGGTCATGGCGAAGCTTATTGAGTTGTCTTTTGTGACGGCTTTTGTGGCTTTCCTTGGGCAGGTGCTTAGTCGGAGGGCGTTCATGAAGGATCATGGGAGGGGGGTTACGTTGTCGGAACTTAGTATGTGGAGGTGGGTCGTTCAACCAGGTAAGCAATTTCCCTGTATGAATCGCACGTGAAACGTGCTCTGACCTTTTAATATAGGCACTTTGATCACCCATTGGGAGACTGCAAAGTATGCTGGGCTGTCCTTTCTGGGCATACTGAGTTTGCTGAGCGCTGTTCTAGCGACGCTTTACTCATCTGCAGCTGCTGCGACTGTTCAGCCTATGCTAAGAGATGGTAATTGGGATAATGGTCTGGTATTGGCTGGTCGCGTCAAAAGCGACTTCGCAAACATCAACTACCTTAAGGAAATGTGTCAAACGCCCATTCGAACCGACAAGAATGCCCAAGGAGAAACTTGCCTACAAATGGAACACGCTGGCCAAGGATACCACAACTTCCAGCGCTACCTCTCGGATTGGGATCTGTCAGCCCGGAATGGTAACGGCACTTCAGTCCAGAAGTTACGACCCCAAGGCTTTGGGCTTCTGTACGAAAACACTACGGTCACTGGACAGTGGATCGACATCGTCAACACTACTGAGGTGTCCCAGAAGCACGGTAGAGTTATCAACAACGTAACAATGGCAATGCCCCACTCAGGCGTCTTCGCTGCTGCCCGCGACCAAAGAAACGGGATTTTGCAACCTGAAGAGCTAAACTCCGAGGGAACTTACTCGTTGCGCGCTTCAGTACCGTCGCCAGTATTGAACGTACTGTGCGTAAACATGAACGAGACAGAGCTAGAGCCTATTGTATACGACGCCTGGAACGATTATGAGGTTGTCGATCTTCTTTCTTGGGGAAACGTTCCTGGTATCAGGGACAACGCAACCACAACCAACAAGACCGTGGTGGATGAAATCTTCGGCTGGGACGTGAATGACACAACAACCACGAAGAACTGGCCGCCCGTCTTCGGCAAATACCCCTTGCCTTTCAACACAATCATGAACCACACTAGCTTTGCCTGGGGACGATCCGCAATCTACCTGTTAGGACAAGGAGGACCAGATGATGTTGGCATGGATGGGACAGGCATCTTCTCATTGTGCAAGCTACACCTCACGGTGAGACCAGGATGCAGTACACGTCATAACGTCACAGGTTCTGGCGCCACCATGGAGGCACTTTGCGAAGATCCCAACGACAAAAAGGCCTTCGTCGAGACAGGAGACGAAGTTAGCGTTAACACAAAGGGCGTGGCTAATTGGCGCGACATAGGTACTGACTGGGCCAACAGTCTATCACTCGGCACAGGCCTCATGGATGCCAATGCGAGTACTTCCAGACTTCTGACACAGTTGGTGTTGAAGCCCACCAATCCGGATCCAGAAAACCTTCAGGTTGACCTAAGCAATGCGATACCCAGTCTAGGAGAGGCTCTTGCAGTTTTGGCGGGATGTACTCTGCTGTTGAGTATGGTGGATACGCCTTTTGTGACATTCTGGGTACGTATCTCTTTTGTCTTCCATTGTTGGCATCTCGCAGCTTCTTGCCCTCTGCAAGCTGACTCGCTGACCCAAACCACAGAACTATTCCCACCCCATGCTCGACGAGTACCAAACGCAATACTTCAATGCCTCACTCAAAGCCCAACAATACGCATCCGGGGGCATGCCCGGCGCTTCCAAGGCATGGGTACTCATCCTTGCTCTCGTCTTCGCCATGAACGTCTTCGTCCTCATCTACTTCATCTTCCACCGCGGCCTGGTAACGGACTTTTGCGAACCGCCCAACCTCTTCGCTCTCGCCGTCAACTCGCCCCCGTCGCACGTCCTCGCCGGCTCCTGTGGCGGCGGCCCAGAAGGCAAACAATACATGGTGAATTGGTTTGTAAACCACGAGGGCAACCACTTATACATGGAACCAGGCGAGAAATCGCATCTCCTCGGTGGCCACAGCCACGGCCAGCCGCACGTACACATGCATGCCCATACCCACGGCCCGATACACGAAGCTGCCCCGAGAGAGGTCAAAGGTGTTAACGGCTTCTTCGCCCAGATAGGCGAAACAGTCAAGCGCAGATTCAGTATGAGAGAGCGCTCTGCGCCGACTAAGCTTCGGCCTGCTAGTGCGGTGGAGAGTCTCAGACCCCCTGTGACTGTGAGGCCCGGGAGTATAGCGTCGGATTATGAGATGGAGGATGGGCAGACGAGGACGTCGAGGCAGTATCAGAAGTTGGCGAAGAGGAGGAGTATGCTTTGAGCTTTTTTGGCTTGGGTGGTTACGTAATGTTTATATGTAATGAATGTTTAGATGATGCTCACGTCTACTATCGAATGATCAGCACTTACAATGTCTCTGGCAATAACCTCCGCGCTGGGAAGTAGGAAAAAGAAGCTTATCGTGAACCGCTCGTAGTTGTTTACTTCATGGTGCTCATACAAACAAAACGACCTAGGATAAGGGCGGAGGTACTAGAGACCCCCTTGCCGGACAGCATTATGCGACACGCACTGGCGTGAAACAGTCCATGCGCTTCGATATTGGCGCGTTGAGGGAATATATTGGTAGGTGATCAGATGGTCGACGTTACAGTCTACGGACTCGCTTTCCATCAACCTCTCATACCGGTCGCTGACACTCCCTTCCACCTCATCCGTCATCGCTTTATACGGTCTGTGTAGTTTAGAGAAGTCGTAGCAGTGTTGAGATCAGGTAGGCTTACTCCTCTGCCCGATCCGCCATCCATTGGCTGTTCTTGACCACTGGGTTGCTTTGGCTGTCGCTTTTTAGTGTCATGACAGGAAGCTTCAACTAATCATTGCGGACCTTGTAGCCCCCGTCGAGAGTTTGGTGATCGCCGGAAGTTTTTGGCTATCGACGCTTAGTTTCGTGTCGTGAGAACGCGATTGAACATGTGCGAACCTTGTAACCTCCATCTCCGGGATTGCCACCATCTGGGCCGGGGGTCTTTGGCTGTAGCTGATCAGAACTAGAGTTTCTAGTGAACGATTGATGCCGGAATAGCCCATATTCGAGCACCAAGCTAGGTTCAATGACCCTTGTCGACTCTTAATGGTGCTGTGATGGAATATTTATACCTTTCTTTCGTAGGAAGCCATATCAAAGCTACTAGCTCACTGAAGCTCAAGGAATGACGAGGCCTAAAGTAACGATAGGGATGAATGTTTCCGAGAGATGGTAGGAACGAAAGATGCTATCCGAAAACGATGGATAGCACGGCACTCTTATCCATGAACTCACGAACGGGAAGCGACCTCGGCTTTGAGCAGCTGATAAGGCATCCGTATACACTAGCATCCAGCCAAGAGACCTGCTGACGGCTATTCGTTCAAAACTTCACCGATGAGATATCCACCAGTGGACAAGGCTGGCCCTTTGCCCTATCACCGTGGCACGAGATACACATACCCCGCTCTCGTAGGCGGATCTTGCGGCCTGCATAGTACGTGAAGGCTTAAATTCCAGGATTGTAGCCTATAATGCTCGAGGAAGGAGCGGTGTGGCTCCTTGTAAAAGCGACGTTCTTTGCTGTCGGAGTGACGAGTGGCGAGACGGTCCGATGAATGTCGAGCGTCGAGACATATGCGATAATCTAATACTGGTGCTGTGAGTGTGACAGACAATGGAGGTCAGAGATCATGTTCGGGGGCGTGGCAGGTGGTATTGTTATTGGAATAGAGCTAAGTAAGGTCAGATCAGTCAGAAAGACATATGTCACGATCATTCTCTGGGGTGCGTCGTGAATGGCAGGCCAGTGGCCCTGCGCCTTAACAGAAGTCTAAACGAGGTATGCCAAAAGAGCTTAATATGTAAAGAGATCTACATCGCCAGCGTATAAATGAGTGTACGTAGTAAAAGACCGCAACGAAAGACACATAAACAACACAAAAACCTACACGATACCCCCGATAGCGATCAACGCCATCTTCCACACACACCCCAACCTCCCCAGCATTCCCACCTTCTCATCGCGCCGGCGGCTGTGTCCAACGCCCCAACATCTGTCCAAGCGCCCAATTCCATTCATTAACAAAAGCATTTGTGAGCTGCGTGATCTGATCCGCAGACGGCGTCTGGCCCGCCCACATAGCCGGCTGCGACGCCTGATAGCGCGCATAGTAGGGGAGAAGCTGGCTTTGAAGATGTCAACAGATGCATTGGTAAGCAGGTGTATGTTTTGGCAAACGTACTCGGTCTGTACCTTGTTCAGAACCAACCAACACAAATTCCATGAGCGGTTGCTTGCGGGATCGGCGTAGACGCGCCGTTTTGCTTCGTCTAGGCAGTCGGAGCTATGAGTGGGTTAGCTCGTGCATTGGGATATGTTTTGTCCTTTTTTGAATGCATGTTGGGCGGCTTACCTGAAAGGGTAGTTCCTAGTCAGTCCGCGTAGTTCCGTCAACAAGCCATGCGACTCGACATAGTACTTCCCTAATACATACAGTCAGTCGTCATTTGTAGCAGCTAATCGTGTGAATGTTTACAAGCCGCCGTCATCGGCTCACTGCAGTCCGGTGTACCGAGCTTAGCAAAAGCCTGCTCAACACGGACGAGTTCAACGATGGTGTTGAACTGGTGGGATCGGAGCGCTTGAATGTATTGTGCCTTCTCGGCCTGTGGGAGTTTAGTATCCGGGAAATCGGTGTTGACGGTTATAGAGCGGATTGGGACGTACGGAGGTGATCTTTCGACTGGAAGACATCCTTGCGAACTGTGGTACCCGATATCTACGTGCTGATGGGTGATAGTATTCGCTGTGGTTGGTACTGGTAGAAGATGTAGGATCAATGGACATGTAATAGCAAGTGAAAAGCGAGCTGGACTGGATGGATGGTATCGAAGTTGATGCAGGAGGAAGTGTGAGAAGAACGACTTGCTGTGATGAGTCCATCGATTGTTGGAGAACGTTAGAGCGTTATATAGATATTTCCAGTGCTGATGCTGTCGTAGTGAGTGACCCTCTCAGCTATAGTCATCCCATAGCCAATGTATGTGTCGTGAGGCATCCACGGTGAGCCACATGCAAGAAGGCCTCATGGGAATGAGTTCAGCTCTCGACGCCATATCGTCATAAGAAGTTGTAGGCTTCCCAAACAACAGCGCCAAGGGTGAAGAAGGCAGCTGTGAATTGTCGAATGCGGAAGCATCAAGTAAGATTGAGAATCCTTTGAGGAGATATGAGATAACCATCGTCCCTTTAGGCCTCCGTGCGTTCGATGTAGGTCCGATAGTGCTAGCATTGTCTTCTTGATAGGCCAGTTTTCTTGCAGCAATGGGTCTGCGACACATCAAACACAAGTGCTGTGGTCAGATTATGGGCCATGAACAAGGGCTATGTGACTTGGTCATGGCTCTCGCGGCCCGGTCGATCTGAGTGCAAGAGCCTTTGTAAAAATACTGTGATAATACCAGCCACATTCTTGATGCCGAGAGTTTGGATTGATCACTCATTGGCCGTCTATTCGACATGTCACTGACCGTATAAGCAAGAGTGGATCGCTTGACCCTAGCAGCGTTTTCAAAACCATCATCGCCGTTGCACATTGCGTAGAATATTGTGTATCAGGTAAGTGCCATGCTGAGGACTAACGCGCAGCTTGGTAGCTGAGCTCGATGTTGTCGATGTGTGGAGTGGGTAGGTAGGCGCAATCTTAACGGAGAGTGCGAAACACGTTCGGAAAGTCAACTTTCCGTTGTATATCTGGGTATTTCGACACAACGAGAAAGAAGCTAACCAGAATATGCCGTGAGGCTGAGGCTGATTCCCTATATCTGTGCTGACGATGGAAGAGTTCATGGGATCCGGATTTGTCCGCTGTGGCTGGTTAGCTTGTGGCTGAGTATCGCACCCTCGCCAACTTCACCGCTATTGCCTCGCAATCCTCACGCAATTCACGATTGCTAACAGCACTGCTCCCGGATAGCTTTCTTTCCGAGGGGTACCTGACAAAGCCGCTGCTGAGAAACCGCGCGTTTAGCATTCCGCGTTCCACGTTTGGAAATGTCCTTGGACGTCACGATCCCCATCTCACCAGCCACGGCATAAGCACGACGTTGACCCTCAGTCTCGGGACCCGCGATCCTGGAAAAGGCATATCAATCTGGACAAATCTATTGCGATTGATTAAAGCCATTGGTAGCCATCACTCAGCACACGCATATTGGCCCTTGAGGCTGTATGGGCTTGTCAGCAGCTCTACGTCAGAAAGAGCCTCAAGACACATGAACTAGTATCGGAGTGCGCATGACTGGAAGCCGCCATGTTAAACTTCTGATGATCGACCGCTAGAAGGTATGCTTGTTGCATCTCACCTCATTCCGTAAGGCTGCTGTGCAGCTACCACAAGACTCAGAGTTGGGAGACCATATGCTCCAATAGAAGAAGGCCAAACTGCCAAGTGGTAGATGCAGTCGCTCGTCTGGCCCCATGAATAGTTCAGCTGCGTTGTGCCAGCCCCCATTCTGCCACTGCTTCGCGATCTCCCTTAGATCTTGCGATTGGAAGGTTTCTACACTGGTTAGCCCCTGGTTGCTCACGCATCTCGACACTGTAACAGTCATTGGACAACAAGCTTTCGAATGGACCGGACGGCCACCGATGATTCGTAAAGATTCATGTTGATAGATTCTTTTACATGAGCAGGCAGAAGTCTTTCGACTCCGCAGTGCGTTTCAAGTCGTCATCCACCTTTTACACCCAGACACCTAGACCCGAGTGGTCTATATGCTCAGCGCCATGATGGAGTTTACGATGTCGTTGTCGTTCTCCTTGAGGGCCTTGACGGCCTTCTTCCGCGAGACACTGGCCTGCTGCATGACGAGCTCGATGTCCTTGGCCTCAAGACCAGAGTCGTCGATCTCCTCATCGTCGTCCTCCTCTTCCTCCTCGTCCTTCTTGTCCTCGACAGCCTTGGCCTTGCCCTTGCCGGAGTCGTCGCCGTGGTCGTGACCGGCGTGGTCGTGGGGCGCGGACTCGCCCTGAGCGAGCTGCTGGGCGGCGGAGGCCTGGGCCTGGGCGTTCAAGTCCTCGATCTTGGCCTCACCGAAGATGCTGGTGCGGGGTCAGCAGGCGGCTTGTGCCATTGAGGGGCAGCGACTCACATCCAGGTGTTGCTTGAGGGCGACTTGTAGACGTCCGGCTGGTTGATAACAAACAGAACCTGGTAGGTGTGTTAGCCTGGTATCCGGAATGGTGTCTCTAGTCTGCCCGCATCTCTTGTTTGTTGACTGCAGCTCCCCCGCCAATTGCGCGGAAAGCACTCACGTTCTTCGGTCGGCGGAGGGTGACGCGTGTGATGCCGTCGATGTGCTTCAGGCCGAGCTTGGCAATGGCCTTGCGAGCCTTCTTCTCGTTGCGGGAGTGGACGGCGACGGAGGAGCCCGCGGGCACGTTGACCTCGCCCTCCTCGTTCTCAGACTCGTCGCTGGACTCATCCTCCTCGATCTGGACGTTCTTCTTCTCGGGCTCGTCGGGGAGCTCTTCAATGCGGGGGTTGGCCATTTTGTCGGTTTGTGGGTGACGGCAGGTGGTGGTGGTGCTGCAATATCGAGCGTCGCGGAGTTGGGGTCGGAGCTTCCAAAAATGATTTGTGGGCGGTTTAGCGCGGGCAGCTCTCACAATTGGCAATGACGCCCATCACAAGCAACAATTACTCTCACAGCCTATGTCGCGCAATTCACAAGGACGGGCATTTCAAAGGGGGTATCAAATTGCAATTCTAGTTGCACTGTTCGTGTGTGTTCATGAATTTGTGGATTGAACTCTCTTGCTACATGTGGAATGCATGCGAGAGCCGAGTAAACCGTTCCCAAACCGAATTGCACCGTGCCAAACATTGGACTTATTCGCCCTTAACCAGGCCTTGAATTTTTGAATGCCTTTGAGGTCGCCTTCGGAATGCTCATGAAATGCACGTCATGCCTCTATGCCACCTGCATGCAGCGATCACCACAACGCCTGTCTCCCGACAGCATCGAGACTACCTATGCCTTTGCGCTGGCGCGGATCTTGGCGAAGGTCTTCTGAACCTCGAAACGAGCCTGTGTTGTTGTTAGTCCATGTTCCCAATTCGCATCCGGTGCACCGCGTCTGGTCCGAACGGTCGCATTCGACGACACAGGTACAGGGCAGAACGTACCTGCTTCCTCATCTTCATGACCTTGAAGCGCTCAAAGTCGTTGAGTCCCCGCCTCTTCTGGATAGCCGCACGCTTCTTGGCCCATGAGCTCTCGTCGAACTTTTGCTGGACCTTGTGCTCCTCCCACTTCTTCGCGACGTGGCCGTTACCCGAGGCACGGGCAAGCTTGGGGATGACGATGGGTGTAAGGGAGAGTTTCGCAAGCGCGACTTCCTGGCGAGGGACAGGGGCCTTCTCGGAGGGACCTTGGAGGAGGACCTATGTCTGTGTGAGCCGCTGAACAGCACCCGGATCGCGAATTTTCCATACACGCTTGTGGTCGATGATCTCGACGATGACAGCGAGGCGGCCCTCGAATGCACCCTCGTTGAAGAGGACCACGCGGCCGACCTCTACCAGCCTCCAGGCACTCGTTGTAATTTCGGCGTCACCCATTTCGTCGATATGTGCTGCAAGAGAATGTTAGACGGGGAGACACGTGGAGGATTGCTGCGTCGAAAGCGTACCGGTCGGAAATAGGAGTCGGTGTTGATGTTCTTGTCGGGAGTAAGTAATGTCGGTCGGTGGAGGTTCGAAATTCAGTGTGAGGCCGGGGCCGTGCACAAGCGAAAGGCGCCTTGGCGCTAGCGCCGTCCTTAAAGTTTTCTGCGACCGCGCGACTTCCATCATCTCCTCCAGCACCGCGGGCGCCGCAGAAGCACCACGCTCAATTCGACAGCCGTCGCGACTTTGTGCAGTCGTCGACGTGGCTATTACGACCACTTTACTTCGCACCATGCGCTCTGCAGGTGCAGACACGACGGACGCGACATGCGCCGAGCTAAACTACTCCAAAGACCCATAGCTACGATCCAACACCAATAGCTCCACTGGTATGTCTCTCACCTCCACACTCCTCCCCCATCCTAGGATGACATAATTTGCGATTGAGCTCGGCGTCGGAGACCCTCGCCGGGGTCTCTTAACGGCGTCGAAGTCATGACATTCAATTTCTTACATATTCTGAGCTTGCTTTACCCATTCAGCTTCATCACCGCACCGAGTTTGCGACAAATGCTGACCAGAACAGACGCTTAGATACCCAGCCAACAGATGCCTGACATCCGACGTCGATGTCAGCCTACTCGTTACAAACTCACGTCGACATGCGACTGCAGTGCCGTCACTGCTCACGGCTATCATGTACAGGTCAGTACTTACTTCTTACATCACCGCCCCCACTCCCAATGATTACAACATGCAATAGATAGTATATGATTTCTATGATTACTATTTTATCACCAAGATCACTGAAGGGATCCACAAACACGCTCTGCTTGTTAACGCTTTGTTTCGATACAAGTCACTAACAAGCCTGCAGATAAACTCTCATGTGTACGCAAGTACGCTCAACATCGCTGCATGCTCCAACTGCGCGTTCTGTCTTCGAGTACAGCCATGCTTTCAGCCTTCTTCAATCAAGTTGGCTTGTCCGCATTGGTTACGCGCGCATGTAATGAAGGTGATCGAAACCGTGAAGAAATAGATTAGCACGATCAATGCAATCCGCGCGATATGCCAGACAGGTCGCAAAGGTAAGTGATATGTCGGCCGTGTAGGCAGGTTATTCGCTCTGTGATCTATCACATCTAGCTAGTCTCAATGAAGAAGTCAATCAACATCTGCATCACCTTCCGCGACTCTCTGCTCTGGTGTCGTCGCTCTCCTTCGTGTGATTTTCCTTCCGTAGTTTCGGTAAAGGTTCGTCAGCAACTCCCTCACCACGTCGTTGAATGCTGTCCTTGCGTCAAATTTGCTTCCACCGTACGGGAAGGGGACGATCTTGGACCAGTCGGCGTTATCTTCAAAGTAAAATTCGAGATCAAACGCGTCCGCCTCCTTGAGCATGGTCTTGAGCGTCACTCCCTTGTGACCGTTGACGTCTGCCCACGCCCACAGTGCAGGGTCGTAGAAATTTAACGTGTTCGACGCCTCTTCGGCGAGGATCTGTGCGTTGAAGAGTAGGTGTCGGATGATGTTGATGTCGCAACCGCAATGTATGACAGCATACTGCAGTAGCTCGGTAGTGATGCCTTTTTGCACACCCAACAGCACGGCAAGCGCTGCCACCGCGTGCTCATTACCCTCCTTGATCGCTTCTTTCATGCCCGATTTCGCCACTTCACCTGCCATACTACCCTCCCAATCGATCTCTCCAGTCAGGCTAACCAACACGTACAGTAGTGACGCTTTGTCCTCCGTCCATGGCCCATGCAGCAACTTTTCTGGTATGTGAAAGCCTTGCGCAAAAGCGAGGTGAGGGATCTTGGTGAACTTGTATGGCCATAGTCCGTCGAAGTAAGACACTCCGGGGATCGTAACTCCAGTAGCTTCCCAGGCCTTCCCGCGCAACTTGACCATGGCATCTTGTGCGCGCTGCACGTATTTCAAAAAGAAGTCGTAGGTAAAGAAATGGCAGGTCAGAATGTTGGACTGGAGTGAGGCATCGCTGGTGACGAGTCGGTCCCGATAGTTGGTGCGGTGATCGACGGTATGGAAGAAGGCCTGCATAGTGAAGCTCATCTCTATGGCGTGTGAGGAGAGTTTCGTGCCAAGATCCCGTGAGCAGCGTGGAAGCGCTGGATTCATGCTGTAAAGAAAGATCATTTCCAGCAATTCTGTGGGGAGTCCTTGGAGCGTCGGCATGGCGGGCTTATATTCTTTCTTCTTGCGGGCTGATTTCGTTTTCCGTTGGCGTTTGAGTTGAGATGTGGATGCTGAAGAGTTTTGTGCAGGTATGGTAAAAGGTTTACTTTTGGAGGCAGCAGCATATGCTGGGTGTAAGTACTTCCTCTTCTTGCCACGCACGATGATAGGTGTCAGTTCCATCGGCTACTTATGAGCGGCCGTTGCGACCAGGCAGCACTCAAAGGTAAGCCACTTTCGATTGCATGCAGCATGCACAAGGTAGATGGATCGGGAAAGGCTCCGCGTCACCTTTTGGAGATCGCACTGTGCGCCACGTTTTGGTGCACGGGCCCGGTGTGGCTTTGCCGCGGCGTTCCTGGATCTAGCGTTAGCTTTCCGCTCGTCTTCCTGTCGCATAAACAAAAGACCCCGAGGAGATTGACGCACCACGCGCGCGTGCACCACGAACGGAAAAGCGAATCACCGAACGAACGACGCGACCACACCAAAGAGATGCAGGTCCACGCAGTACCCGATTCCGAGCGCGCGTTTGATTCGACTGGGAGGAGGCTACCCTGGGCGCTTGAGTTCGCAGAGTAAGTCATGTTTCACTGCCATTACCGAATGGAGCCTTCTGCACGCATGAGCCTAGTCATGCGACAAACAAGACTGCAAAGTGTTCTTTATACGACATTCCTCTTCTTCATGCTACCTTGACGCCATGGACGACCTCAACTGGGATTCACCTATAGATTCGGACACACAGCTAACATCGATCCCTGACAGTCCCGATCAAAATCAACGGCGCGTGCCAGAAGAGAAAGGCCCCTTTGGCAAAGCACGGAAACGCGGCACATCACGAGCGAAGACACCTTTGGGCGCCAGCAACGCAGCTGACGAGGCGAGGCTCTACAACCAGCGCACAGAAGATGACATCTTCAGTCGTTTTAAGGCAGACGAGGACAAGAGGCGCTCGGTATCTGCGCGGCCAGCCGGTGCATTACCACCATCAGCTTCGGCACCGAATCTCATAGACGCAAGCAACGGCCTGAACAACTCTTTCGCAGCAGGCGCATCGACCAACGCCACATTCGCACAAGAACCCAAGGAAGTCATACTATACGGCTTTGGCTCCGAGCAGCAATGGGCTGCGATATCACACTACGAGAAGGTTTCCAACGGAATGATCTACGAAGAATACGACCGCGAGCCACCCAACCCCAGGCTCGGCTATAGTCTAGCAGCGCAACGCTCGACGTACTACCCCAACTTGGAACCGAAATACATGGCCAGGATCAAGACATATCTTGGGGGAGACCACTGGGTCAAGGTGACTTTCGATAGTGCGGAAGCCGCCGAGCGCGCATGTCATTACAGTCCGAAAAACATCCAAGGCTACACAGTTTACGCAGAAATGTATAGAGGTACAGGACCACAAGGTGGTGACCGGCCGTTACGCGCAGAAGGAGGGGCAATGTCACAAATCGCTTCACCCAACACCGTATCTTCAGGCACCTTAGGACCACGCGGCGCATCTCAGTCTTCAGCAACAGCCTCCTCTGCCACAGCAACGGCCTCCCAGCCTGCAGCGTCACAGGGGCTCGTATCGCAATCAAATTTGGAACCAGCCTGGCTGAGGAGTACAAGCGGCGCTTTCCCAAGCCATCTCGACGACATGCCCGTGGAACCCATGTCTCAACCACGCGAAATGCACCAAGCTCTCGACCCAAACACCGTTCCTGCGCATGCAACTACCACAGCATTGAACCCCCGTTCTCAACGCGCGACCCTGCGACTCAAGGGCGCAAACGTGAAGCCCGCTGTCTTCCTCCCACAAGAAAAGGCTTTCCTCCCCGCAAAACCCCGCTGGCAGCAAACAGTCGGCTCGGTGCCTGTCATTGGCTGGGTGATTGGCTCAGGACATGGTATCATTGGCGACCATGTACCGAGAAAAGAGGACGGAACTTTCGATGCGAACAATGCGAGTCTCTACTGGCGGGTGTGGTATATGGTGGACAACTGCTTCGGTAGTGACTTTTGTGGGGTCAGGGATGCGGAGTATGATGAGTAGGCTTAGTTTCAGGTGGGGGCATTTTGTGTAAGACCAAGGGGTATTTAACAAGCATTGGGCGGCGTTTTCGAAATGACAATATAGCGATGTGGCTTCTAGTGCTTGGAGGGTTCGGTATCAAATGCATATGTAATGAAATGCGAGTAGCATCCTCAGCAGAAAGCGTTTCTTTCGTGATGTATGATTTGCGGGGTTGTCCAATCATGTAAGAATTCATGCTGTACAAGTCTCGAGGTGACTGCGTTGAAATCAATATGAGCAACGCAGGCGGAATGATGTAGATGGTCAAAATCTAGGGTGCATTTCCACTGTCTGGAACTATTCACAAATACGTAGGTAATACAACCCAGATCGGGTACATCTCGACTACATGCAAAGAAGATGCTTAGAGGACGGAAAGATCGCCAAACTTCTCCTGCGGGGTTGTTAGCACTTGCATATGAACTGTCTTGAGTGTTCCAGAAACTTGCCTTGTAGCCGGGAACGGCCCAGCGACCCTTGGAGACAAGCTGCTCGGTGCGCTTGTCGATCTCGGGCTGAGCAGCTGCGACTTCGTCCTGTGATATCTGTCAGCCTCTTGTCCCTCATCTGCCCGTAACTGTATCTACGTACAACAGTGAGGTCGGCGAATGGCCTGGCATCCTCAATGTTCTTCAGTGTCTTCTGGAGGTCGCTCAACTCCTTGTCGACAACGCTCTTGGTCTGCTCTGCGCTCTGGACGGCCTGGGCCTCGAAAGCCTCAATGGCCTTGATCTGCCTTCCTACATCGTATGTCTGGGGCTTGAAAGCGTTGAACTGCTTCTCGATGTCGTCGATGACAGCCTGGTTCTTGAGGATGCCGCGGTAGTGGTTGAAGTCGACGGTCTGGGACTGCTCGGAGAGAACGGTGACTTTGCGACGCGCATCGTCGTTGCGCTTCTTGAAGGACTGGAGGGCGGCGGCGGTTTGGCCCTTGAGGCCGAGCTGGGTGCCCAGCTTGGTCCAGTCGAGCTTGAGGGCTGCGCTACGCTACAAGAGGGGATATGTTAGTTTTCTTGTTCTGCATTTCGGAGGAGCCATTGCGGGTGGGGGGCTACTGCCGGCGCAGCAATTGGGCATTCGAGAGCTTCGACGGGTCTTCTGGAAGGGGTGTGACGTACTCCGACGGCCATTGTGATGGATTTAGACGGGGATGCGGTGGTTTCGGTTCGGGAGGGTTGATGTCCAAGTTCTTCGCGAGAGCTCGGAACAGCGCCGCCAAGGATCTCGCGCACGTGCCACTCGACTTCCGCCTCGATCGCGGCCATGTTCCCCCAACATTACCTTTCCCATTCACACTCTACACTTCGTTGCTACATTCTCAACCAACAGTCTAAACCCGAACAACTCTCATCAACATGTGGATTCTCGACTGGTAAGCCACTTGCTATGTGCTCATGTTGTTTACTTACTGACCTCGCGCCAGGTGTAAGTTAACTACCCTTCCTCATTATGTTCCGAACTGGATGGACGCATGTATTCGTCTCCGTAACACGGCAGAGCAAGATCCCTTCATTACTCTCTCATAGCACTGCTATCGCCTTCCGAGGCCAACGTCTACAACACCACACAAGGAAACAACAAGGTCGGGCTTATCACATGCGCATCGACACTATACCATCGCATATGCCCCGAACACCTGTCGGACCGACCAATGGCTTGCTTGGAACATAGTTGAATATGGGCTGACGTTTTGTAACAGTCTGGGATGTTCTGTCCTCGCTTGGACTCATGAACAAGGTAAGCAGGAGCATAGTCTCAACTTCACTACTCAAGCTAACACATCACCACAGCATGCCAAACTCCTCTTCCTCGGACTGTACGCACTTCCACATGCCAGCAATTTCAAACACGTATAGCTGACTAGGCTCCAGTGACAATGCAGGAAAGACCACGTATGGCTACCAAACTGGACACGCGAGCTTCCACTAACACAATTAGGCTTCTGCACATGCTCAAGAACGACAGGGTCGCTGTCCTGTAAGTGGGATGTGGCCTTATTATACAACTACTGGCTGACATGTGCTTTAGCCAGCCGACTCTGCACCCCACTTCCGAAGAGCTCTCAATAGGAAACGTCAAGTTCACAACCTTCGATCTCGGAGGTCACGCACAAGCCCGCCGACTATGGCGCGATTACTGTATGCCGAGCCTGCCTGTTCGCCTTGCATCAACTGACACTGTCCCAGTCCCCGAAGTTTCCGGCATCGTCTTCCTTGTTGACGCCAAAGACCACGAGCGTCTCTCCGAGTCGAAAGCCGAGCTCGATGCTCTCCTCGCCATGGAGGAGCTGAAGAACACTCCCTTCGTCGTTCTTGGAAACAAGATCGACCACCCCGACGCTATCTCTGAGGACCAGCTCCGTTCCGCGCTCGGTCTATACCAGACAACCGGTAAGGGCAAGGTACCTCTCGAGGGTATCCGCCCGGTTGAGGTCTTCATGTGCAGTGTGGTCATGAGGCAGGGATACGGAGAGGGTATTAGATGGTTGAGCCAGTACGTCTAGGCGGATTACTCCGGCAATTATAAGCACGCTAGGCGGACACAAGGCAGTGGGGAGCGCATGTGTCTGCACGTTGGCTCTCTCGATGGTATGAGTTAGATGCAAGTACATACCATGGCTATCACATGCGTAGTAGATGTACTCTTATGGGCGTTGGCGTTAGCTCTTGGAATAATATCATATTGCACACCAACACTTGTAATACGGTGCAGCGAAGGCTGGGTCGGCCCGAAGCGAGCGAGACCGCTATGTCGGTGCAAAACTCCAAACGACGCGCCACAATGACTCCATTCCACTAGTATGCGTGATGAACGACAGACACCATGCATCGAATATGGACACCTATGGTGTCTATTCGAGATCCTAGTTGCTGATAACGGTCTAGCACGATCAAGAAACGTCACTCATATTTGCATCCAACTCTCAGGGATCTTGGAAATGCGGATTAGCAACAAGACTGAAGAAGCAACATGTAGCGACATGGACATGTCATGACTGTATATCGCAATCAAGCAGTACGGATATCAAATGTCCACCGCTAGGTTGAGTCGGATGCCTCGATCTTGATACGGTAATCCACGGTACCAGCTCAACCATAAGTGCGATGTC